ATTTCCCCACTAGCATGTCTGTAAACGACAATCTACACCCTGTGCAGGAAGTAATATTTCCCCACTAGCATGTCTGTAAACGACAATCTACACCCTGTGCAGGAAGTAATATTTCCCCACTAGCATGTCTGTAAACGACAATCTACACCCTGTGCAGGAAGTAATATTTCCCCACTAGCATGTCTGTAAACGACCATCTACACCCTGTGCAGGAAGTAATATTTCCCCACTAGCTTGTCTGTAAACGACCATCTACACCCTGTGCAGGAAGTAATATTTCCCCACTAGCTTGTCTGTAAACGACAATCTACACCCTGTGCAGGAAGTAATGTCCTATTGTAAATATACAAATATTAAGGTGGAAAAAATGTAATATTTTTGAAGTACTAAAATTTAATTCTGTATTTGTTTTTTAGTGCAGTATGAAATCTCTTCATGTTGTTCCTTTGAATAGCTAAGCTTGTTTGTAAGATTTAAAACATGTAAAAATAGGTAATCATAACACGTGTAAAAAAAACAAAACAACTCATTGTTTGTATTTTTGAAATCATTATATAGTGTTTGAACTAGCTAGTTTGCCTTGTTTTCAACAGAAACATAAGGACAACAACACACTTGACAGCACAATTAAAGAGATTCTGGCTGAAGCAGAACGACTGGATATCAAGGATAAGGCTCCTTTGGTGTTTTGTGAATTACTTTTTGATGAGCATATTATCCACCAAATAAAACTGCATCGTATGTTATTCCTTAGAGTAAGTGTTTAAACAATATAATTTGTGGAAAAAATGTATTAAGCAGTATAGTTTGAGTAAAATTCTTGTATTATGCAGATTCTTTGTTATTGGGGAATTGAGGATGCTTAGTCTTCATGAAATGATGTTTTAGCTATTCATTGTAAGGTTGAATGACATTGAAGTTTCTGTGTAACTTTTGTAGTAAGTTCATGAAAGTTTTAATGGTACTACATCTACCTTTTTTTCTTCAGTTCACCCATGAAAACCACAAAGCTCAGAAGTATTTACTGGGTGGTTTAGAACAGGTAGTGAAGCTCCATAAAGACAGTCTGATGAATAAAATCCCTCATATTTTAAAGACTTTTTATGATACAGATATATTGGAGGAAGAGATCTTAATTGACTGGGACAAAAAGGTAACCAAATTAGTAATTTTTAAAATATGTTTATTATTAATTTGGCAGAGAATGGTTAATTTTATTTACTTAATTTCAGTATTAGGGCTGAACAGTTAACTCGGGTAATCAATGATATTGATTGTCACATAAAATAATTAATTGAAATCATGATTAATTCGAGTAATGGTGCAAAAATAACCAACTAATTGAAGTGAGTTTAAAATTTTTTTAAAATTCAAGGTAGTGTCATGACTATGGAAATAACCTAATCAAAAGGAGTGTTTCCAATTATTACTATTTTTAATTTAATTATCTAAGGATTATGAGTAATCAATTAAGGAGGTGAACAGTTAATTGATTAGTAAGTTCCATTGATGCTTGCTGAAGTGGCAAGTATGATAAATGAATTGTCATTGAAGTTGAATTCATTTTTTGACAAACACCATGGTGTTAGTTTCATCCTGTGTTACTAAAATTTGAAAATACTTATTTTATTAAGACTTGATACATGTATTGAAAGCAATAAACAGACTTGGGAGGTCAAACTTATCTAATTATAGTACATAAATACATCTTTTACTGTAACAGTTATATTTTTAACTTCATACTAGTGTATTTACAAGAACTAACTTTTTCATTATGGTAGTCTGTGCAGAATAAGATAACCAGTGAAACTGCTAACAGCAGTAGGTAGTGTCTTTTTAGATTCTGTAGATTTTTTTCATATAAATTGGCTGCTGTAGTAGAAACACAGCTGTCTTATTTCAATAAGCAGTATGTTCAAAATTCTAGGGAATGCAGTTCAAAACAAATTCAGAATTGTGTGCTATAAATGAATTCCTTTTGAATCCAATTTCAGTGGTTAATTTTAATTGCTCAGGTTTCAAAAAAATATGTTAGCAAGGAGATTGCTCAAGAGATCCATGAGAAGGCTAAACCTTTCATAAAATGGCTGCAAGAAGCTGAAGAAGAAGAATCATCCTCTGACGAAGAAGAAGAGGCAGTGGAAGTATGTGCTGATTTTTTTTGGTTGTTAGAAATTGTACATAACATCTATCACTTTGTTGGATTTAAACTTGAATTTTCAAAAATTTAATAAGCTTAGAATTTCAAGAGAAACAATATTAAGTTTTGCAGAGTTAAATTTGTATAACGGTAGGAAAAATAAAGAAATTCCTTAATTTGTGCATAGGTTTTTAACAGTGCGTCCACGGGCAAAGCACCTAGGATTTTGCAGAACCACATTTTTCAAGTCATTCTGGATTGTTTTTACCAAAACCTGATTGGACAAAAAGCAGGCAATTGCCCCACACTTTGTGAAAACCAGATCCACGACTAGTTACTCAACAGATATCAACATTCAGTGAGAAAGTGTACTGATCTTGTATTGATAAAGCAACATTAATACAGGAAAAGAAGAATGGCTTATAAATGCACAGTGCGTATGTGTGGTACTTGTGGGAAATACCCTTGATGTAAGTGTGGATGTGACGGTTTAGACCCAGAGGTTAAAAATGGCACAAAAAGGAGGTGGGAAATGGCTACAGAGCAAATTAAAGGCCCAAAGAAGGATTGATTACACTTTTCCTTTGGAGAGTGATGAAGATGAAATGTCTAGCAATACTTCTAGGGCTCTTGTGAAGTTCAAGAAGAATATTACCATTGATGAAGATGAGAATTATCTCACTGACACAAAAGTCAAGACCTTCGTATATACACTGAAAACAAAGAACAAATAGCCAAGAACACAACTATGCTTGAACTTAGCCAAGAAGGTAAAGTCAACAACACAACACCACAGGTATGGTACATCTTCCAAGGTGTGATGTCCACCAAAAAGACTAAATTTACTACTGCTTACTATGGGAGATAAAAACTTGCGATATTGTCACTAAATCTGCGAATGTTTTTTGTTAAACCTGAAAATGCTAAAAATAGGGTTTTAGCTCAGTCCTAGAGCCCAAATCCTGGGTGCTTGGCCTGGGGAAGCACTGTTAAAATCAAAATTTGAAGTTTGCTCAAGGTTTCAGCATATAATTATCTCTGGAAGCAGCTGAAATTTTGGGCTGATAATAAGGTTTTCTTGACACAAAAACGTTAATTTAGTACGATATCAGTACTCCAGTTAGTACTTACAGCTTCAATAAATCATTGTTTAGACTTTGCTAAAAGCTGAGTTATTTGAAGTGTTATTCCTTTTTAATATAGGTTGTTTATTCAGACCGACACATCAGCACAAAAATTCAGGAAGTGAAGGATGAACCTAAGCCAGTTTCCACCACTGCAGGAGTGGAGAACAGTGAGGATGACATAGATATTGATGATATATAAGAGGTGTTCAATCTGTGTCAATTCTTAATATGATGTATCAGTTTTAGTTTATTCAATCATAAATAGGTTTATTCCAAAAGCTAGTATGCTCCTTTCAGTGGGTGTAATATGTAAGTTTACACCTGAAATAACATGTTTATCTGGAGTTGCTGGTGTTCTTTATTTACTTTGAATATGTTTTGCTAACTTGCAAATAAACTTAATGTCTCATTGGTGCTTTGAGCTTTTCTGCTAAGGTCTTCAGTGATATATAAAAATATTACAAGATTTTAACTAGAAAATTATGGTGATATTAGCTTGGTTTGGGAAATGTAACTAAATAAAGATTATTCTGTACCATGTTTATTTCAGTTGTCTGTGTTTTTTTAGGCTACATACTTTAAAAGCCATACAGGATATTTCTTTTAAATCTAAAACTTCAAGGCAATTTGTTTCAAAACTATACCTAATATGGTGAAGGAACAAGTTAACTATCAAAAACTAACGTTCATAGAAGTTTGCTGCCATTACACAAAGTACAGATGTTTTGTTACTGAGTGACTTCTCTACTAACATTAATAGTATAATGTTAAACAGTATTTTCTTTGGAGAATTAATATGAAATTACATATTTCTGAACATAGTGTTTGCCTGTGTGGTTTAATATTGTATGTCATACCATTAACAGTGAAACACTGTTTAATACAAAATTTTTCATTGGTGTAGATTTGTTTGTGTTCTAATTTTGCCGTAAGAACTCCTTATAGCTAAACTTAAATTATGTACATTTAGAAGTGTTTGTGTTGAAAATATTTCCATACAAACATTTGCAATATAAGCTGGTAGGTAAAATTACTATCAATACTCTCCATGATAAAAAAAAAAAAACTAATTTCTTCAGATACTCGATTACTTTTAACCAGAAATTTGTTAGTATGGGGAAGGAGCTAAGCTCTAGCCAGTACTTGTTATAAAAGCGTGAAAAAATAGTTTGTATATTTTCTTAACTATTTACATTGGAAATAACGTATGTAATACCATGCTTTTGAAGAGTTAAAATGTTTAATTTGTGGTGGGTGTGTTAAATACATAAGTAATAATCATTTAAATAAACAGAATATTACTTTGCCAATGATAATAAGGTTAAACATATCAAAAGTCCCAAATCAATGCTAAGCTAAACTGACAAGTTTACAAGCTTTAGGTTTTGCACATATAATTCTTAAAGTACATCACAAAAATAATGTTAACTCGAAATTGTGTACGATTTTAGTACAAGTGTACTAATGATATTTTACAGTAAACTATTAGTTATAACAGGAGAGTAATATGCAATATTTTAAAATTGTTTCAATAATGACACAAGTAGCTCATAAGTACAGAAAGCAGGTATATGTATATTTCAACAGAAAGGTGAATAATATATTACAAAGACATATCCACATGGGTGTAAAAGATGCTTGTGATTTCCCATTAAGCATCGTGTCCCCAAAACCATTGTATGTGACTTACCACATGATAAACTACACTATCTACGACTATGAATGTATCATACCGGTTACTGACTATAACTGTACAAGAAAAACACACACACACTACCCCTTAATTTAAAAAGTAAAATTTCCCAGTAGAACAGATAAGGCTGTTGGAAGCTAACCTTTCTGCCGATCTAGGCTACCAAATACAGAAATCTAACCTACGTGACCGTGCAGCTAGTAAATGGCAGTGCTAAGGCACTGTGCAAGCAAAATATTACAAACACACAACATTTTCACTTCTATGTACAATAATTATTAAAGTAATACGCACGTGCTTCCCCATCTCTTAATACCAACACTTTTTAAAAAAAAAATACCTGATTAGGATTCTTTTAAATAACTTAGTTGTCCTAATTTGTTCATTTTTAAAATGCTCTCTGATGACCATATGAATTCACAGAAATTTTTACTTTCTTAACCCTCAACTTACCTTTGCCCAATGAAATTTATTCTTCACAGCTACACATAATTTTGTAATTAACATAAAAAGGCTTATATATTCAATAATTTTGTTTTCAAAATAGAAAACATGATTAATACTTCCAGACAACAGTTATATGGCTCATTATCCCAATAAATTTTACATTCATATAAAAAAAATACAAATCATAAATTATTTCTTTCTTACTAAATATAAGAAAACTGAATTGGGAAACATCAACACTTGTAGATTAGTTAACTGTAATTAAAAAAAACAACAACAGAGCCATGGAATCTTTCTTGGCTGAGATGAGAAGGAAAACAATTTCAGAAGTTTGAAATCACAGGTGTTTTGGCACTTCAAAAATGGAAAAGCAGGGTTACCAGTATTACACTACCATTTCACTAAAGAAGTTCAATTCACATTGATAAAATAAAATTCTAATCTTGTTAATAATACAATTCTGTTTAAATACTTCTAGTTCTTGATTATTTTAGGGAAAAGTAGATAATCCATTTCATTCCTCATGTTTTAACAAAAAATGGACTTAACTATATCTGAAAATCATATGAAAAAAAAAACTTGGGTGTTTTTATCATATTTTATAATATTAAATTTTTATGTAAGAAATAGCACTATTAATCAGTTTTCATTATGCACGTACAATCATGTAATTCTTCCTTAATTTGTAAACACGGGCTTTTCTTACGTATATAACACCAGCAACATGGAGCAATGTATCCGTCAGGACAGTGGAGCCTGTAACTTTCAATAACCCCATTACTTTATAAAGGCAAGTAGACTCCTATGTACATGACAGCATAATGTGCTTTTTTTTACCTTAAATACGACAGGTGGAGGAAAAAAAGCGTTGGTGCAACAGTCATCGAGAGTGCTTTGTAGTAGTAGTAGTAGAAGCAATGTATATTGATACCTGAATCTGATTTTTCAACACTGTGAAGAATAGCTTTCAGACATAATCTATATACAGGAAAAATTTCATAGGATAACCAGATTTAATTCTTGAAGAGTTCCTTCTTGCACTCATTGGTGATGTTTAAAAGGGCTCTAAGATTGAAGATTATGCAGTTTTGATATATATGTATGTACAATTCTGATGAGATAGGAATATCGGTATTATTACAGCACAAATGAATGATGTGTTTCAGCTGTATTTTCTGAAAACATCTTGCCTGGTGTTAGGCTAATGCTGATCAGGACCCTTGAAGTAGGTAATGTATCACCTTACAGTAGAACTGGAAAAACTGTCCAGATATTGCAACTGTGAGTGGAACAGCTCCGAGAAAGGTGAAAACAAAAACTGGAGATTCAGATCTTTTACCTTTGCTTGATGGTCATATTACTGCAGGAGATCTTTGATTACGGTGAGATTCAAGCATAGTCTCGAGGAGTATTTTGGTGATTCTTGCAAACCAAAGTCTGACTAGAAACTGTGACATGGGACCTCCTATCTGCTCCAACAGTTTCTTCATCTTTAAAATGCTGTGGAAGAAGTGGTCAAGTGTAATGCACAAACAAATGTTAATTGACCATCAGAGTGTGGGATTCCATTGGAGCAGCAGAATCATACAAAGTGTCTGTGTCTTGAGTGGGTTCACCTTGTAATTGGCACTGATTACTTAAAGTGCCTGCTCCACAGTCGCAGAAAAATCTAGAAAAATCCAAAAGACAATGTTAATAATACAAGAAACCAGGATAGGTACACTACTAGAAAAAAGGAAAAACATTTTTTAGCCATAGGGGCATGCAGGTTATTTGTTACGGCATATGTTTGATAACACAAAAAAAGATTAATTAGCAATATAATATATACACCTGGAAAAAAGTTAAGCACCCCCGTGTTTTTTTCA